GACCTGCTCCTGTCAAGAATGCAGACCTGTGTTCTACTCTGCCCTACAGTCACTGAAGGGGGCTCAACTGGAGGAGGACTGACAACGGGCCTTCGGGATGTTTCCCTGGAGCCTCCCCTCTGGTCAGCAGCCTGGGCCACAACGGTGCTCCGTGTGCTCCCCAGGACTCCGTGCTATACAGATGGACACATGTGTTTCCACAGAGGGTCTGCTGTCCACACCGCAGTCGGCAGGAACACGCAGACCCCACCTCGTGTGCCGTTGGCTTTTGCTGTGGGAGCCAGCTTATCTTACCTATTCGATTTCGAGTGAAATCTCATCCTGCTTATCTTTCTGAAAGACGGGGAAGAGGCAGGTCCACCGACCTACCTTGCCTAACACTGCGCTTACAGCTGCTGAGGAGGAGAAGGTAAAACCAGACCCACCCCAAAGTACCAGTCAAGCTGGGGGGGGGGGTGTGTGTGACAGAGCAGAAAGGGAGCGCTTAAGCAGCACTGTCATCCCCCACCCCCCTTACCCCTCCTAAATTGACAAGCAGCTTAACCTCTAAAATGCCCAAGGTCTTTCAAACACTCCTGGAATGCCCAAACAGGGTTCTGCTGATAAGAGGCAGGAAGTGAAAGCAGGGCCAAGGACATGGGATGCCTGGCTGTCCTGACTCCAGTGTCTCATGACAAGCCCACGCGGGGACAATTTACGACACGAAGCACCCAAGGGCTGCATGCTCCTGGAGCTGTTGGGATCAACTTGTACAGACCCAAGGTGAGCTTCAGGAAGGCGTGGTGCCTCTTGCCCCCCATCCCCTCCTTCCTCACTCAAGATGACTCAGCCAAAGTGATTTCCACCCTCACCCTGCCCTGTAGAGTCAAGAGAAAGCCCAGGGTTAAAGGTCATGCTTACCCTGGCCAGTGTACACAAACACAAAGCACTATTGCCTCTTGATCTACCCTGCCGTTCCAGACGTCAGGCCGTGTTCTGAAAACACACGGTGCCACCCAACACACTAAACACTAAATTATTGGGTGGCACAAATTCTGATAAGCGTTAACGGCCCAACTATAGCCTCTGAAAAGGTCATTCGTTACCTTCCTCCGCCTTCACGGCTTTCTCCTTCTTTACAGATCCCGCTTTAGGACCCTTGTCTTGCGACTTCTGTGAACCACCGGCTTCCTTTTTGGAGTTAATCTAACAATATAAAGAGCAAACAATGCCTCCAGTCACACCGCGATCAGAACCACCCATAGACGCTGCAGGAGTCCCGGTGGGGTCACCGGTACCCGTTGGGCTGCCAAGTGTTAAGTCTGCGGTTGGAAAACCACCAGCCGCCCTGCAGGAGGAAGGCGGGGCTTTCGGAAACTCACAGGGGCAGTTCTACCCTGTCCCGTGGGGGCGCTGTGAGTCAGAGTTGACTCGATGGCAGTGAGCTTGGCTTGTGTAGGTGCAGCAGCTCTTACTGAAAGGGCCCCTACACCCAACTCCCTAAACAAGCCAGCCGCCCTCCTTCCTTCCACTTGCTCTGCTGCAGACCCTCTCAGCCCCCAAACCTGCGGCCTCGGTCCTGCTGGGGCCCCTGCACCTGCCCACCAGGGGGCCACTGCCAATCCTCCCACTTCACTAATCTGGAGAGCTGATCCCGCCCCGGGGCAGACGGAACCTTCTGGGTGGGGTTTTTCCAGCCCTCAGTGGCTCCCTTCCTGGGGCCCCTCTCCTCCCCTCCACTCCTTGGAGCTCTGAGACCCCCCTACCCCAATTTCACACATTACAACCTCCCCCAAGGCATGGCTGCATGCTGGAGAGAGACTGAAACAGCTTTCTCAACCCTGACTGTCGCCACTCAGATGGCTCCTGCCTCCGTCCTGTGCCGGTGATGCCTTCGAGGGCCCCAGCCTGGGGATGGGCTCACTCCCTCCTCGCTGCCTCACAGCACCTGGGCTGGCACCTCTGTAACAGCACAAAGCCATGTGGGTGACCTGGGGCTACAGTCTCTCCTACAGGTGAGAACCCCCAAGGACAGAGATAGCTCAGGTTCATGGCTTCCACCCACACAGAGTCTAACACGAACAACTGTTGGTCCATATCGGACTTCCTCTGACAGCCAGCACGTGGAACCTGGCTTACCTAGTGCCATCTCTCCCGCTCCAGGTTGCCTTTCCCATCTTTGGATGGGAATCCCGTTAACAGAGAGCACTACACTTAGCAATCTGGCCCAGGCGCCCAGGTGGCTTCCCAAGCAGGCACCTCTCCAGTGCATACACAATAGCCACTTTCAACGGACAGTTTAGAAAATAGGATGACACCCAGAGACTGAAATAAGAGTCCCTGAAATGGTCCCCAATGACTGCCTGCTTCCATCCCTTTCAGATTTCAAAAGGACCCAGGAGCCAAGAGAATAGTCATTAGCCTCCCCTGAGTGCACTCCCAGGACCTCAGAACAGAGCGCAAACTAGGGGCGCAGGGGCAAGAAGGAAAAGCTTCTTCTCCTCCCCCCTCACTGCCACCACATATGCTTGCCACTGAGAACGGAGACTCCACCCCCACTTAAGTCTTACCTCAACCGGGGGCGTCTCTCCCAGCAGCAGGTGATTAAAAATGGCTGCGTAGTCCCCATTGATGTTCATCAGTTCCTCGTGGGAGCCTCTCTCTGTGATACAGCCCTCTTTCACGAAGATCACTTCATCACAGTCCACCAGGTACTGCGGACAGAGGCAGGGACGGCACGCACATGCACTCCAACTCTCTTTCTAGTCCAGTGCTTCCCACCTGCCCCAGGGGACCCCCAGGCACCTGGCAAAATCTGGGGACAGTCTGGGTTGCTGCCACTTGGGGGTGGACATTACTGGCACTTGTTGTGGGTCGAGGCGGCTGCTAACCCTCCTTCAGTGCACAGGCCAGCCCACCCAGCCCCACCCCAACAAAGAATGACCCTGCTCCAAATGTCAATGTGAGCAGCAGTGCATGACTGGGAGGTGAGTACAACCACCGGATGAGGCCACGGCGCGCTCTGGGACAGAATGGGGGCGGTTAGCCCCCCAAACTGGTCAGCATACGGAATGGGCGACAACTTCCTTGAGCTGCTGGCCAAAGGGGCTGCCTGTCATGAAATCATGGGGAAAGGACTTGTTTCCTCACAACAGAGAGATGTGAGCACGAGGCTTTCCAAACTACTCGGCCTCCCCTCCCAGCCCTTACTTGTGATCTAGATGCAGGAGCTACCAGGCTCCCCAAAGCCTCTGCTTTCAGATGACCAGCTGGTCCGCTGACACAGTGTGGGGGACTTCCTGGGGGAGCAGCAGCCTACCTGTAACTGGTGGGTAATGAACAGAACGGTCTTGGACTTGAGGTGCTTCCGGATAGCACCATTGAAGATGTGCTTGCCCACGTGGGCATCTAAGGCACTGAGGGGGTCGTCCAGGATGTAGATGCTCCTGTCACTGTACAAGGCCCGGGCAAGGCTGATCCTCTGGCGCTGCCCACCACTCAGGTTGGCGCCTCGCTCGCCGATCTATGGGAGCCCAGGGTGTGTGGTGAGGGGTCGGCGCACGCCACCCCAGTCATCTCTCTCAAACAACTTCCTTTTGCTAAATTCCCAGCCTGGACAATCCATCCTGACGGTCCCTCCAGGACCTACTCTGGAACTGCGGGAGGCAGTCAGACCCCTCTCACCACGTCTGGTCACCAACCAATCTCACACCTGGCCCTGCCACTGTCCTTGCTTCCTACTTCCAACAGAGCAGAGCAAGATTTTTTTTCACAACACCAAGCTGGCCAGGTGCTCCCCTTGTGTAACACTCTGCATGAGTCGTTTATGCCCTCTATCACGGAACCTACGTGCCCAAACACGGCTAACACAGCAGGCTCTTTCCCACTCAGCCTCCCCAGCAGTTCTCAGTTCTCA